GTCATAAAGCAAGTACTTGAAAAATATTAATTGGATGTATAGTTATTTAAATTTACAATATCCTTAATAAGCATTATTAGGACATGTATTTTTTTAGAGAATAATAGTATATTATGTATCAAGTTTGATAAACGCCATTTTATACACGAATTACTATAGTTTTTCTACGACAAATACTTATTATTATCTTTAATTGATTTAAATCAAAAATTTCTATAGAGCGCCATCTATGAAACAATAGGGGAATCTGTGTGTCACCGTCAAATGTCACATTTTTATATTATATAAACACAGATTATAAATCGAAATGTATTTCTTGAAAATTGACAGTTTTTCACAGCCCAACTAGCATTTATGGTGGCAGATACGTAACTGCCACTATCAAAGCCACTACAAAGGGGGCGGTGACCATCGGCGGCTACGTTGTATATTCGTAGCTGCTAAGTAACTGCGACCAAAATGGGGAAAGATTTTGAGTAGCCGGGTAGTGTCTTGGGTAGTTTTTGCCACTAAAAGAGTTACTACGATATGGCACTATAAAGTAGCCTACCGTTGAATGCGACTTATCTGTTACGAAGCTGCCTAGTCGCGGGTTCGTGGCAGCCTAGTGTTTTGCCACCGACATGTAGAACTTTCATTAAACTGTTAAACTTTATTCGCAGCGACCTCTTCAGTTTCACACTTCATAAAAATAAATGTCATGATGGAAAGTAATTATGGAAGCCATTATTATTTTTTTGTTATTTACCATGCGATTTTAACGCCTTTTGTGGGTCAATTCCAAAACGCAATCGACTTTACTGAATAAAATAGTGGGTTTATATGACAAAATTTTCGAGCGCCTTTCAAAACATTTCAAATCATTAAATTATTTGCAATAGAAACTCATGTAGTAATTAAAAAAAAAATTAATTTGCTTAAAACTGGCGTGAAACTTTAAAATATTAGTCCACCGTCACAAATAACAAAATATCTAAGGAAAAAATCTTTAGTTTAGGTATATTTAGCTTAAAAACGCAAAATGTTTGAGCCATTTGGCTGTTCGTCTGAAAAGTCATGAAAAAAATATGGCCGTTTAATCCGAAAAATACTTTATAGTTCCATATGCTTCCACAAAGTACCGGGAACAATAATATATTAGGCCAACCCTACCCGTTTGGAACTTTAAAATCTTCGGATTGATAAAGTGACAATTGCAACTACCCAGAGACGACTTTATGGAAACAATAACTTTTTGGGAACTACATGGTCCACGATTCTTTGGAACATAAAGTGATTTTTTCCAAGAAAGTTCCCTGCGCCACTAAATTGCCACTTAATTGCAGCGTTTATGCTACACCGATCGCGGCGTGCCACTATAACGTTCCGCCTTGTCCTTTGAAGTTCCCGTTTGGCGACGCGAGAATCATATTTTTTGTAAAATGCAAATTGAATATTATCAAACCTAATGTTTTACTGGTTATTGCAATTCTTATGATCACATGACAATTATTCATTTATTTTCAAAAAAATTAATTATTATAAAAAAACAGGACCCACACCGTTTATGACGTCACTTCCGTCTCGTGTCGTTTTTTCTAGGTTTATTAATTACTCTCTTAAATCTTGAAACGTTCTCTTCCACTTAATCTTCGAATTTGAATCCACGACTTAAGTAGAGAGCATACAATATTCATTTTTACATAGCCCAAATACCTACAAGTAAGGCAGAATGAATAACATTCATCAGCCCAAGATTTGAACGCTTGACTCAGGTGTAGAAATCAGAACATACATCAACTTTGACTGCAAATACTTCAGGGAAGTATTGATAAACTTGACCCATTAAAAATATTTAGCACCTTGAATTTCTTATATTAAATTCCTATTCATTACAAAATATTTAAAGACTATTAAGGTGAAAACGTTCACGTAAGATAGAATTAATAATATTCATCAGCACCTCGATCAGAACGAGATTTGAACACTTGACTCAGGTATAGAAGTCAGAACATGCATCAACTTTGAATGTGAATAGGTACTTCAAACTGTTTGAATCAAACAGCTTTAAAAATGTCACTACCTGATTTATGATGTTCATCAGTACGATTATAGAAAGATGTAGTTTTTGTTTCTGATGTTGATGCTTCGGCTCCCAGTGATTCCTTTTGTTTAATTCTTTGATAGAAAGTACTAGAATATCTAAATTTCTTTTTATTTACCTTAAGCATTTTACAGAATTTTAATAAAGCTTAAAAGCAAGAAAAGAAAACACCAAAACAGAGCAGCACACTATAGTGCGTAACATATATGCATATATGCAATCTGAGGCAATTACATTTATTAGGGTATATTAAGTTATGGTCACTATTAAGTAGCCCTTTTTGATCCCCGCGACTTTTTAGTGGCAAAGGATAAGCGACGGCTACTTTATAGTGACCTAGGAAGGTCGCAGTAACCATTTTGTTACTTTCAATGCTACTATAAATTAGAGGTAACCAGGTGTCGTGGCCGCGACTACCCCGTAACTTAAATTGTTACTATAAAGTAACAAAAACTTAATGGAGGCATTATGGTAGCACTTGTTGGTGACCGCTACTTTAAAAAGTTACTATAAAGTTTTTGGTCTTTTATGGTGTCATATTCGAAGATTCAGGTAGTTCCAGCCACTTCTTTAAATTACATGTTTGCCACTTGCAATCGGTGTGTTTATTTTCCACTTTTATGGTAGGTAGGCACTAACCAGTCACTCTCGAAATATACTTCAAAGTGACTATTCCTTATAGAGTAACATTTTAAGTGGCAGGGTGGGTCTAGGAACTATACTTTAGGGGCAGTGACATTTAAAAAGGACTGGGAACTATATTTGCTAATTGGGAGTGAAAGTAAAGAAAATGTTTATGAGGACTTTACAGTGGAGTCCGTGCCCGAATTTAAGTTATAGTTTACTGTCGGAGAAATTAAAAGGTCAGTACAATGTTCATATAAACTTTTCAAATATTGGCGTTAAGAAACTATTTAATACTTTTGTATTTTTGAATTGAGATAATATTTTAGTATTATTTTACAAGAAAGGCACTGTACTTTAACGATTGTATGACATTTGACAACTGTCAACTAATTTAAAACTAACTTCAGCCCGTGACTAAAGCGCCATAAACCACAACTTGTCAATGTGTATTTAAAAGGTCACTTAGTGTCATGGAAACATGTACGATAAAAACAAAGATTGTTTTGAATCGAATACTATTTTTTTTCAGTGTATAGAAGCATGTTTTATGGGCACTGTTAACTGCACAAGAAACTATTTATTACTTTTGAATTATTGTATTGAGATAATAAAATTCACATTTAGTATTATTTTACAAGAAAGCCACTTTATACAAACATTTAACTTAACATGTATGCATTTGCTTGAAATTAATTTTTTATCATATTCATGAGATTATAGTTGTAAAAATTTCTGAAGTCGTAAAATGGTCTGGACGAGAATGTATGTATGAAATAAAAGAAAATGTTTTGGTACCATATAATTTTCGAGCGGTTCTTGGTGTGTAAAAAAGCTCAGCATTTAAATGATTTTGATTTATTTATTTAGGAACGGGTCATCCTTAAAGTGAAGCTCGCGAAGTTACGACTCAGCTTGCACAATAAGTTCATTTTTAATAACCATAAATCATGGGAAGAGCTATAAAATATCAAATTATATTATGCCAAATTATAATGCTGTTTGGAGCACAAAAATGCCTTTTTTACATTTAAACACATATTCTTATGTAGAGATGCGACTTGAAAAAAAAACGGTCCGTTTTTTTTTGTTTTTTTTTCAGGTTTTTTTTCACATTTTAGGTTTTTTTCAAGATTAGTCCCATTTGCCTAATTTTTTATGTTTTCATGGACTAAAATTAGCCACTAAATGACAATTATTAAATGTAAATACAGTCTCGCGCTTGTTTTGATTTGGTCCTAAAAAAAGTAACTACATATAGTATTTTTGATTCAGCGCTTGATTTTTCAAAAAGCTACCAAAAGCACTTTTTTCATGATTTTTCAAATTAATGTAGAGTATGGAATTTTTTTTTTCCAAAAACAATAGCAAATTCTTGTAGAACATTTCTTCATTGGTGGTCAGAACATTCCGTGGACCAAAAAAAGAAATAAATTTTATTACAGTATTCGTTAGAATTGAGCGTTACACGTTTTTCATCAAAAAATCTTAAAACTATAAACTTCAAGCTTCAAATTGCTTTTTTACGGCTCCAATACGACCATTTTTAACAAATATACGGCTATCCGAAAAATCGCAAAAAAAATTTTATCCTTTAATTTTTTGTATTAGTGTAGAAGTTTTACATTGCTATTGGTTTTTAATGTGGAAACTACCAAATAATAAGAAATCAGATTTTTTAGTCTTGGTCAAAATTTTCAATAATGAAAAATGTAATATATTCTACATTTTACTCAAAATTTCATTTTGAAAAAAACAAACAAAAACGTTTTTTTCTAGGTTTTTTCATGTTTTTTTTCACATCTGAAAAAAACCGTTTTTTTACATCTCTTATTAATTAATTATTAATAATGAATACCAATTTAACAAATAAAATAAGATAAACTGTACAAAATAAAGTATGTAAATGTTAAATATGTAGTAAAATGTAAAATTACATTACAATATAATATGTTAAAGTAAATGTAATATAAATATAATAATTATAAACATAAAATAATGATTATAATAAATTTGTAATTTGGTTGTCCAACCACAACCATTAAGATAAAACAATTCAGCTTATTCCTTCTTTTACAAAGAACAAGCTGAATTAATAATAAATATAGTTTAAATTAAATATTATTCTTATGGCGTCTAATAATGGGGACATAAATTTCAAACATTGGAGTGCCGCAAGATCTCATTACAGGACCCCAACAAAGTACTTGTTCATCTTGAAGCTTCGACCCCAAAATGAGTCCTTGCGGCACCCCAGTAAATACCACTCCGTTTAATAACCTACCTGACGCACCTGCTTGAATTGCTCCTCGAACGACCAGGTATGTTGGGAGGACTGACTCCCCTCCGAAGAGTGGGAGCTGCCGGAGGAGGGGGCGGCCGGTTGGGGGGCCATGGGGGGCAGGAAGGCCGCCGCCGGGTGGGGGAAGGGGAACGGCACCGGTAACTGGAAGCCTTCAGGACCCGCCATTGCACGCGGGTAGCTCAGGCTTCGGGAGCTGTCAAAATCGTCCTGAAAAAAGTTAACAATAGAAAGTGTCTTTGGGTATCCTGTGGTGGTGTTTCAGGATCTCATTCCTAAAATTTTCTCGAAATGTCGCGCCCGTTACGCTATTCATGACGCTATAAAAGGTTTTCTATACAAGTTTTTATTGACATTTTGTTTGAGTTAAATACCTAATTTTTCATACTATTTTTTTATATTAACGTATCTTGATATACAGACTGTATAGAATCAAGTAAGTAAGGCTGGAGACAAGGATGACAAATTATATTCTGATCAGAGAAAAAGAAACAAACTTTAATTGGGCGTGGTTTAAACCAAGCCATTCGTAATTACGAACCGTAGTTGCCAGGTTGTTTTAAATCAGAAGAGAACGATTATAATTATTTAATAAATAGTTCAATTTTATTTGTTTGAAACTTTAAAAATAACAAAAAAATTGATAATATGTCAAAAATAATTTGATTTACTTAATTTTCTTACTTTTAATATTAAAAAATAAGAAAAACAACCCTTTTAGGCAACAATAATAGCATATGGCAACAGCTCGGCATGCAGCCAGATACAAGGGCATGCAGTTTGATCTACTGTGTTTGTTCAGTAGCTCCGACGCTGTCGTAGGGAAATGTGTATAGTTTTTAAGAAATACATTTTCGCCATTAACTGGAATTTAATGGATTTTAAACAATATTTAGTTTTTATTTGCAGAAATGCATTAAAACAAAACAAACGAATTCGATAAAAATAAAACCTATAAATTCTCAAACAAAAATAATTCGAAAATAACGAAAATAACTTTTTCAAACCCTACCACAGTTTGGCACTTGTTTTATTTAAGTGTAAGTCGTTTTAATACACACTGTATATGGTGTCGCACCCGTTACAATGGAAATACCCCATTGCAAAAACTAACTTGTTACCATTATTTGTATACTTACTCCAACTTTGATGTCCCTCACTTGCATTTTGAGTTTTGCTAGTACGTCCACGTGATCAGTCATCATACCATGCCTTCTCATCTCATCGCAGCTGTCTTGGTCTTGGTCATGGTCTCTTGGTGAAGCTTCACCATCGCTGATGTCATCATCATTATGCGACTGAAAAGAATAAACCAACCCAATAAACAATTTGTACTACTTATGGTAACGATAAATTATATAAAGGTTATATAAGAGTTTTATAAAAGGTTTTATAAGGTTTTATAAAATCGCCATTTAGTTTACTAGTTTTATAATGGTCGAATAGGGTTACAGTAAACTCTATGTATATAATTATATATTGAGTAAAAAATCTTAGATTTAAATTATATACCATAAATATTTTCGCCATACAAAGTTTATATACAAATTCATGTTATCTCTAGTTATAAAACTTGGGTTTTATAGTGTTACTAAAATAGGTACCGATAACCTTCATAAACTCCCCAAATAAGCTCTTTAAGGGGTATATAAGAGTGATATAAATATTTCTGTAACCAAATTAAGAAATTTAGGTTTTATAATTTGGATGATATCCACTATAAAAACAAAAATGTTTATTGGGAACCTACATGGTCATTTTAATCATAATCAATTCTAAATATTATTTCAGCACCTTCAGACTCGAGAGACTGACTTGGGCCAGGTCAGTAAAACAAGGGTGGTCTTGTTTGATTATCGTATAAACACTCCCTAATTTTGTATACAACACCAGTGGCACCAAAGGTTCCTTTACCAAAGAATAAATTGAATTGGTTTTATCTCGATCGGTATTGTATTGTATGATTGTTCTTCGTTTCGATCAAAATAACAGTTTGAGACCCAGATAACATTTAAATCGATTTTGACTTAAAGAGACATAGACAAGATAAAGAGATATTACAGTCTGCATCATTATTTTCTTTATCCTTTTGAGTCTGGCATTGTGGTATAATATGGGCAAGTTTTTCTACCGTTAATAAAATTCTCCTTTACTATAATGAAGCAGCAATGTTGAGCTTCTATAAAAAAATGTTCATCCAACAAAGTAATAGTTGTTATCATATTGTCATGGCAATAAGAAATACTTTATGTTTATATTAAATCTTTGTCGAACTTAAAATGTTTTTGTTAAATCTATAGTTGTGTGTGAGTTGCGCTTACATAAAGTAATGCGCAGTTGTTATAGTAAAATTTGTTATTTTACTATGGCATATTTTTTTTTTAAATTACTATCGTTGTAATTCAAATTAATTTTATTTCAGTTAGAAAATCTTTGTTAATAGCTTACGTTAAGAGCAATAACAAAAATATTTTATTGCTATAATATTTACTATTGTTTTGCAATGGTAACAAAATGTTTATTTTCCCTAAAAAGAGGGGGAAAGGGCCAGCGCTCTCCTTGGTGAACATAACTTTATAATCCACAGTCTGTGTTATAATATTATTGATTTTACTTGTGCGAGTGAAGTTAGGTAAAATCTAGCATGATGAAAATATCAAAAAGATCACTAAGAAAATTAAAATTTTGACGTTTTCTAAAAGAAATATTTAAGGTCTGTTCTATAAACGAAGCAGACTTGTTGTTTAAAAAGTGAGTTCATATTTTTTTATTTTGTACATTATATAATATGAGTTAATTTTTTTGTTATAATAAATAATTTGTTTTAATGCCTTGCAATTATTTAAAAAACTACCCAACACCCAACAGTAGGTTGAAAATGTGACCATTGTTACAATGTAAATAGTTTATTGAATTTAAACGAAAAGGGATTTGTAAAATTTACAAAATTTCTATGAATATTACCATTAGGGTTTCATTAATACTATAGTATACAAAACGGTTTTGTAAATGGTATAGAACTGTTTTTTTGGATAAATAATAACTATATTTATCAATCCCTTTCTGCATCTGGAAGAGTGTTGTTTTTATAAACATAACGTAAATTTACTTTATAATTAATACAAATTCTTCTTCTTCTTCTTCGCCATCTCTGAATGAGTCACTGGCGTTTGATTCAACATAAAAAAATGTCTTCAATTGAAGTATTGAAAGCATCAGATGAGTTAGTCCACATAATTTTAATGACATTCTAAAGCAATTTTAGTAAAAAAAAGTAACATTTTCCAAGAAGCCAACAGCATTCGACACAGTAACTGTTAGAAGCGAATTCATATTAACCACCCTTATTAATAAACAATTCTCTGGAATTCATACCCCAAAACCCTAGATTCCAAGAAACATCGGTCTGTTTCATTGATCGCCATGGTAGGCCTAGGCGTAATACGTCATTGGATGCAAATATCAGGAGTGCACCCGTTAAGAGAGACAAAGACAGAAGAAGATCGTTTGTTACATGCAGGCGCCAACTTTGATACTTGCAAGTTATTTATTGCTTATATTTCCTTCATCGAAATTGACCTGGACAATCTTAAACGCAAGAATCATTTAATACACATATTTTTACGAATTTTAAAAACTTGGCCATAAATTTCTTCAATTAGGGACATTATCTCGTTGTTATCTTGAACGACACAGATATTGGTGGCTATTACGAATGTTTTAGTCATCGATTAGTGTCGAATTGATAAAAACCCTACATTAACCAGATTCTTGAGGGCAAATAATAAAATTAATTGTTTGGCTTAGAGAGCACTTCAATGGGTTCGATTGAATCGATAAATGCCAAGAAATCTTATAATATTATATTTCGTGATTTACCTGTAATCCAATTTCATAAAATTGCATTATACACAAAGATATAATTTATAATTGAATATATAACATGCAAAACCAGAAAGCCATACAACGACAAATACCACATAATAATTACATTATATCCAAATGATTTTTTACACTGTTAACCAATAAACATGGATTTTGATTACTTCATTACTTCAAAAAAATATTTCTTCAGTTCAGTCACTTTAAATAAATTGGTTTCAACTTTTATTAATGTACATGTAAAAACTACCCAAATAATTTTTAACTCGCTGATATGCAAATGAACATTTATTATGAAACGAAAAAATTATCAGAAACTATTCCAAGAAATGACATTACCTGGGTACTTGCTATTATAATAATACGAAATAACAACAAACAGGTAAAAATTTAATCTACCTTTTTGGAATTCAATTTTAATGTCATTGAGCTAGATTATTCACTTTACTCGTGTACCTATAGGTACCTGAATTACCGTTATTAATTTTTTTGGTATAATCGGCCACACCCAAATTTTAAGTAAATATATAGGCTGTTAAACAAATTTACAAATTTAAACAAATTTCCGCTTTAGATTTATATTGTTAATTAGGAACAAATATTGAGTGAATGCTATTTGAATTGGAATTATATCGAGTCATTTAGTTTATATAAATTAAAACAATTTATTCATTCAAAAAATATCTACACATATTAAATGATGTACAAAATAAAAAAATATTAACTCACTTTTTAAACAACAAGTCTGCTTCGTTTATAGAATAGACCTTAAATATTTCTTTTAGAAAACGTCGAAATTTTAATTTTATTAGTGATCTTTTTGATATTTTTATCATGCTAGATTTTACCACACTTCACTCGCACAAGTGAAATCAAAAGATTATAACACAGACTGTGGATTAAAAAGTTATGTTCACCAAGAAGAGCGCTAGCCCTTTCCCCCTCTTTTTAAGGGAAACAACGAAAATTTTGTTACCACTGCAAAACAATAGTAAATATTAAAAAAGTTTTTTTATAGCAATAAAATATTTTTGTTATTGTTCTTAACGTAAGATTTTTTAACTGAAATAAAACTAATTTGAATTACAACGACAGTAATTTAAAAAAGACAAATATGCCATAGTAAAATGAACAAATTTTACTATAACAACTGCGCATTACTTTATGTAAGCGCAATTCACACACAACTATAGATTTAACAAAAACATTTTAGGTTCGACAAAGATTTAATATAAACATAAAGTATTTCTTATTGCCATGACAATATGATAACAACTATTACTTTGTTGGATGAACATTTTTTTTATAAAAGCTCAACATTGCTGCTTCATTATAGTAAATGAGAATTTTATTAACAGTAAAAAAAGATTATTTTTGCATTCTTAAAAGGAATGGACTGTAGATGAATACATACCTAATACTTTCTATTTCTGGCAGCTAGGATCGTAATTCATTTTACAAAAGAAAACGTCTTGCAACGAAGACGAAAAAATTAAGAAATTAATTATTAAATTAATATAGTTACATCCCAGCACAATAATTTATTTGATACGTTGCCAAATACCGAGGTACCGACGAGTTAACAACTGCGGATTAATTTTAAACATAAACATAATTAACGACGAAAATTACGAAAAAATTAAATCATGAATACCCATGTTCAAACAATCTAATCGCACCGAATAACAAATTACAATAGAAGTGCATAATTACTGGAGTATATCAAAAAGAAATATATAAAACGCAAAGCATTAAAATTGTTTTATTATCAGGAGTAATTAACCTAAAAACACGGCCTTGATTTTTGTAACCTGTTTTAAAATGGCCACAACTCACCTCAGTTGTCTATAAGTATTGTTCTAACAAAAGAGATGCGCTTTTATTTTTAGTAGGTTGTCACGTGCTCAGGCGGTTAAGGTAGGTAAGGAAGTGACGTCGCAACACCTACGCACATGCCACCAAAAACAAATCATGGGGTGATATTTAATAAAACTTTAATAAAACTAAAAGAGTTATTACAGCTCAGGTTCCAGATTTTTAACCGCAATTAATTATCTTTTACAATGTTTTAAAAGTCTAAAACCTCCTCTTTCTAGGTTAACCTATATGTTTTCAAATATCTGAGGTAGTAAAGGCATACTAAAAATATCAGTTCACTAAGTAAATTAAACACATCCAAAGCAATCGAATCAAATATAAAATATTATTAAAAATTAAAAGAAATAATTTTTATAACCTTTTATGTAGGCGTTACAAAAATTGATTCTATCCTCCGTGAATCTGTTTTTGCTTTAAATTTTATGCAACGGATGGCGCTTTAATCATTTTAAATAAGCAAAAACCTCTATTTACGACATCATAGATGCATGTGATTCCTGAAGGTCAGTTAGAATTTATATGCAGATGAGAGTGTTGC